CAGCTCAACCTCAAGATGAAGCCAAGCACACGCCAGCACGTGCGAATCCAGGATCTGAGTGGGTAACGGCGCTCTGCCAGCCCGCAGCCCCTGGTTCCTTGGCCAGGGCAGCTGTGGCCTAGTACTGTGTCCTGTCCCAACAGTGGCCTCTGCTGGGCTGCTCTCCGGGACTGCAGGACACCTGGGGCTCAGGATGTCCAACTCCAAACTGTGAGGAGACGGGGCAAACCCAGGGCTCCTTTAGTGACATCTCTCGCTCTGGCTAAGGGCTGACCTGCCGTTGTCCCGACATGTTGAGTTAGGACTCAGCACCTGTCTACCGTTCTGGGAAAGGGGAAGGTCGGTGCTCCAGGTGAAGCCCCGGAGCGAGTGGGGAGGCCTGCTTGTTTTATTCTGTCAGGTTGTGGAGACAGGCATGGTAGTAATGTTTCGTGGAAGAACTTGAGGCCCAGAGAGCGTTGGTGGTTTGTCAGGGGCGACTCTGGGTGGCAGTGAAGGGGATGTAGCTTGGCCAGAAGTCAAGCACCTGGCTGCCACCCCACAGCAGTGAAGGGCCTGGCCACACTTTGAGCTGGTGAGCTCTTCCTCCAGCTGCCGGGTGCTGGGCCGTCTTCACCTCCCATCCTCTACTCTCTTCTGAGACATGGCTGTGTCGCTTCCTGTGAGGAGACACTGGAGGAATGCATGCACCATACCTACGTTAGATAGTGTGTGCAGCCCTGCTCCTCTGTGGACATTGTTCAGTTACATGTGAATGCAAGGAAGAGTTGTCTACACCCTGGCACTCAGCTGGAACACCAGCCAAGGGCGTCTTTTGACGTAATTAGCAAGCATGCAAGGTACTTGTTTCCTAACCTTGAAGACATTGCCCAGAGCTCTCACCATTATTAGATCAAATGATACTGAGCAGCCAAGACAAGAATGATTAACAGTTCTGGGGGAAAAGAGGTGAAGGAATGTGTGAACTTGCTAAAAAACTTGTATGCTCAAGTGGCAGAGATGGGACCAAGAGTCATTTCTCACTTGTATACAGTTTATCCAAATTAATGACTGGAGAGACCTTGCTTTCTGAACTGTATGTCTGGGACTATTCTCCCATGACTGGAGCCCCGGCTGTGACCACTCCCCAGGGCCCAGCTTAGTTCCCTTGCCCGTGTGATCGCCTGGTGTCATAGCAGGCCCTGAGGGGACCTCCTGTGCCTTACCAGTCTGCTTTTCCTGCTGCCAGTGTCTGGCCTTGGCGGATCACACCCCGCCCCGCACTCTGTCTCCAGGGTCTCCAGGGTCTCCAGGGTCTCCAGTTGTCCATCTGGAAACCCCGCCTCCTCAGCAACCCTGCTGCAGCTCTACCCCATGGGAAATCCTCTGTCCCTGAATTCTCTAGAATGTCCTCTAGGCCTGTGGGATTGCCATGTCCTGAAGGCTGATACCTTACCTGGTACATCAGCAACTCAGCTAATTCCAGTTGTCAACACTTTCACTCTGTAAGTATTCATTCTTTAATAAATTCATCGTGCCAGGCTGGCACTCCCACGCCCAGGCATTTGTGGAAGTACTAAGTATTTCAGCATGTCAGGTTCATCTGCAACAGGTGAAGGTCTTGCCAGCCTTGGAGTTGGCTGGGGAAGGTTCCATGGTGAGGAAGAGGAGTCTTGGCCTCCATGCTGAGCTGACTTGACCACCTTCCTCACCCCTGTGACAGTGCAGCTTAAGGAAAACAGGCTTAGTGTGGATCACAGTTCCAGAGAGCACAAGTGTATTTCACGGAGGGGAAGGCGTGGGGATGAGAGGCTGGTCCATGGCAGTGGGAGCTTTTCACATCCTGTTGGGTACCATGGCGGGGAAGGCATGGGGATGAGAGGCTGGTCCATGGCAGTGGGAGCTTTTCACATCCTGTTGGGCAGTGCACAGAGAGATTAGCCAGAACCTGAAGCAAGTATAGCCTTCAAGATCTCTCAACAATCTGGTCTTTTAGCTAGACTTCACCTTCTGAAGTTTTATGACCTTATTGGAGGAATTATCCACCCTGTCTCCTCTTGTGAGTGGTCTTGATTCTTTTTTGTGTGTAACCCCTTGGCTGGGCAGCCCTTTCCCTGTGTGGACAATGACTCTACCCCAGAAACAGGCTCAAAGTGATGTATTATTTTCTTCCATGATGCTGTCATAGTTGGCTTTCTGTTACTGTGATACGACACCATGACAAAAAACAACTTGGGGAGGAAAGGGTTTATTACATCTTACCTCATCAAAGGAAGTCGGGACAGAGGCTCAGTGAGGAACCGAGAGGCAGGAACTGAAGCAGAGAGTACAGAGGAGCACTGCTTACTGATTTACTTCCAAGTCCATATTCAGCTACCTTTTCATCCAGCCTAGGCCCACCTGCCCAGGGGTAGCACCGCTCACAGTGGGTTAGGCCTTCTTGCATCAATCAACAGTCCAAAAAAGTGTCACACAGACATGCCCACGGTACAGTGTGATGGAGGCCGTTCCTCAGTTGAGGCGTTCCCTTCCCGGGGGACTCCAGGTTGGTTTCCAGTTAACAGCTGGAGCTAACCATGACGGGGTTAACAGCGGAGCTCACTGCTGCCTCACCCCGTCTCTCAAAAGTTCTGAGGAAAGAATTATGGTGTCGGACAGCAGCAAGTGTGTCAGGGTGTGTCTCCTGCAGCAGTCGGTGAGCTGTGGGGGGCTGGAGCTCCATAGAGGGCTGTGCATGAGGGCAGCCTCCGGGCATGGGGTGCTCGGCACCCGGCCCTGCTGTGAGTACCGACCAGACGTCCTCAGTAGACTCCTGTTGACACTTAGTCTCGAGGGTGTGGCACTGCTTTGGGAGGTTGTGGGACCTTTAAGAGGTGGAGTCTAGTTGGGGAAAGTGAGTCCCTGGGGTGAGGGCCTTGGGGGTTACAGTCAGGTGCCTCTCTGGCCTGGAGCTCTCAGCTTCCTGGTCAGCCACTGAGATCTGAGCAAGACCCCCATGACCTGCTGCCACTTGGAACATCCTTGTGCCTTCCCCACGAGGAAATGGTGAACTGAGAGAAATCTCTGGGCTTTCAAGTTGCTTTTGTCGGGGAGGTGAGCAAAGTAGTGAACACAGCCCAGACACAAACCCTCCCATCACTCTTCGCAAGCCTGGCATTTCCCCTGTTCACGTCACCATGCCCAGGCTGGCCTGGAGGCTACGGGTCCCTCAGTGGCCTGAGACTGTGTCCATGAAACTGGCAGCAGGTTCCACATGAAAATCAGAAATGGGACAGAAAAATCCACAGGCCACATCCAAAGCCTGCTTGCCGTCACCCACATGAATGATCACACACATGCAGGAGCACATACATGTGAGCACAGACACGGTGCATACATGCGTGAGCACACATGCAAGCATACAAGTGCATGAGAACACACAAGCATATACACATACAAGCACACATGTATAAGCACACACACGTATAGTCCACACACATGAGCACATGCATGCGTGTGTGTGCTCAGGCATGGGTGTACACACATGTAACACACAGAGAAAGTGGGTGGGACACTGTGGAGGAAGCTGCATGCTTTGAGTGAGGTTGATCCTTAGCTCCCATTAAAATATGTGAAGGCCGTTATCAGCCTTCACGGGTTTCCTTAATGTGTTTCCTGTGGAACAGTGTAATGAGAGGAAGCTGTAAAAGGACTGAGCAGCGCAGAGGTTTGGATCTGAAAATCACACCACAATCGGCTCTGCTCCGCCTCACCCAGGGAATTCTGGTTTGATTTTTATTTTTTTTTATTTGATTTTTATTTTTTTAAGTTTTGTCAGTTAACTTTGAGGCTACCTTGTAATTATCCAGCAGCAGCAGCAGCAGCAGCAGCAGCAGCAGCAGCAGCAGCAGCAGCATCGTGACTAATTAGAGACTTAGCAACTGAGGAGCCTCTGATGTGGTGGCTCCAGGCTCTCATCCTGGGTGGTTTATATCAGGTGGATAAACATCCCTTCTCAATGGTGCTACTGGGTATGGTAAACAGTTCATTTTGGGTTGGTTTTTTTTTTTTCAACTTCTCTCAAATCATACCCTACTTATAATGGTTTTCTAAAAAAAGGAGTGCGTAAATGCTTAAATTTAACATCAGTTTCTGTGTCTCTTTCTCTTTCCAAAGTTCTGAGCCCACACACTTTATCTGTGGGGCTTGCTTCAGATCCTCAGCACGGAGTGCTGCATCTTGGCCTCATCATGGAGACAATGCAGATTCCTGCGCTGGCATGCTCTTGAGCAAGCAAAGCCCTGGGCCTTTCCTCCCCTCTCCTCCAGGGCACTTGTTCCTGTTTAGGGGCCCTGGGTCCCCAGTGTCTCCTGCTCACTCTGCCAATTGCCTTCTGCTGAGGAGTTTGCTCGGCAGGAGGCGGGGTAGATCCTGAGACCAGTGTCTTGCAGAAGCAGAGTGGTGAGGAAGGACTTCCAGAGACCTTCCTGTGTCTTGGCAGCCATGGCATCACCAAGAGGCTTGTCCATGAGGAGGCTTGTCTTTAGTTAGAGACTAGCCGAGTTTAAGAGGTAGGAAATGCCTGGACAGTCTGAGCAGGAAACACGAGGTTAAGCAAGAGCTGAGTGGATTGCTATGTATCGTTGCTTTGCCCCCAAGAGGACTGTGCTAATCCTTAAGGAGAAACAAAGAAAAACCCAGGTGGTCATAGGTGACGTCTGGGATGTCCAAGGACCTTTGCAGCCCTCAGGTCTCTGTGTGAGCATCTCCAGTACTTGCTTCCCTCTGCTGCCTGCTGTGAACTCAGCTCCTAGAGAACAGTGGGCCAGACACATGGGCTGAGTGATCGAATACATGGAGGCAAGGAGGCTGGTCTAAATGGGAGTGGGAAGTGAAGAGCTGGCGGGTTCTTTCATGTCTTCAGTGGCACCGAGTGGACTGTACTGCTCAAGAAAGTCTAACTTGGTAAAAGCATATTGATTCCTATTAGAGGAAGTAGGCTACTCTGGAATAGTCTGCTTACCTGTTGGACTTACATGAGAGCAGATGGGTGGACGCTGCCCTTCCTGTTTGGTTTTAATAAACCAAACACTGGTCTGTTCTGCATTGTCCTGTGGAAACGGGTGTAGCTTCTTCCTTAGTGACCAGCTGTGCTGGGAGAGGCAGCGTCTTGTTATGACACTCAGCTGGCTCATCAGTTCCTGCTATTGTCAAGGCCTAGGGATTACAACCTAGAAGAAAGAAAATGTGGACTGAAACAGCCATCCCAGCATGGCAAGCTTTCCGATCTTCCCCTTTCTCTGTGCTTGCCTGCACCTCTTTCCCCTAGGATGGGAAGAAAGAGTGCTGACGCTCCCTGTCCACCAAGAACTTACCATAATTGGGTTAGTAATGGCTGAAACACAACATTCTCTATGTTCAGTACCACGTGAAACATTCTGCCTTATTTCACTGTGTCTCTCCCAGCAAACTCCCAAAGGCAGAACTGTTAATGTCCCCACTGTAGAAGAGAGGCATTGGAGGTGGGGAGGTTAAGGATTCAGCAGGAGGTGTGCACAGTTTGAAGGTTGTGAGGTTGACACTTAACATCCATGCTGCCCTTTCTAAGCCAGGGCAGAAGAGCTCACACTCCTGACGTCTTCATCTTGGTCCACGTTTCCCATCTGGTCACCTTCCTAAAGCTGAGTCAGAAAGATGCCAGTAAATGTTGCTTTGGGTGTGCTGCTACCAGCCAGGCCCCAGATGTGAATGGCCACACTGCTCTGCCCTGTTAGTTCCTAGCTGGTGTGGCTGGGAGCCAGGGCTCTGGTGCCGATCTCTCCCTGAAAAGATGCCGCAAGACTGGTTTTCCTGTGGGCTGGAGGCGATCTGTCAATTGGCCCACTGGGGGCCCGAGAGTGAGAAGGTGCTGTGCCGTTGGCATGCCTGTAGGCACGGGTGACTCGGCACAGGTCCTCTTAGGACGGCTGCTTCTGGAATAGGAACGTCTGTAAAGTGTCTCCTCCCTTCTACTCCACAGTCACCAATATGCCCTTGCCACTTCGTCAGTAAGATGAGGGGACTCCCTTACACATGGGACATGACTCAGAGGTGGGGCATGTGTGGAACAGCTCTCTTCTCTGAAGTACATCCTCAGGAAGGGTTTTCCTCAAAAACACACATGCACCGAAGTCCACTCCGCACGTCAGCTGCCGGCCCTGGAGGCCGCCTACCTGCTCCCCAGATTGTTTTCATTTTGCTGCCACTCAGGTCTTAGGCCCTTTTTATGCCTGCGTTCCCACCCTCCCTTCTGCTTCTCTATTAAAAATATATTTGTTTATTTGTAGTGTTTGGGGCGTACATGTCATGGCATGTGAGCAGAAGTCAGAGCAGCCTGTCAGTTCTGTCCCTTTCATTGCGGGGTCCCAGGGACCGAAGTCAGGTGGCTAAGCTCAGCAGGAAGTGTCTTTACCCACCGAGCCACCGCACTGGCCCGAGGTCGTTCTCCACCTGGCACTGCTCCAACAGGCAGTGGGGGTGATTCGGAAGAGTCTTGGCACTCAAGTGAGAGCAGCTGAAGGCCAGGGCTAGTTCAGCGTGGAAGCGACATTGTGGCCCTGTGGCCCTGTGGCAGGGATGGCTTCTGGATGCCTGTATTCTTCCTAGTATGAGCCACTCTTGGTGGAACCCAGGCCCCTGTGCAGGTCTTCACAGCCTGTGGTGTTGCCAACTGACGTTCGTGTAGGTATTAGCGATGTGTGTTTCCCAAAGATGCCATTGTGCACAGTGACTACCTGAGTCCCTTCAATAGATTGCCCTCACCCCTCATTGAATGTCTACAGTTAGCATCTTTTCATATATATATATGAAATATATATATATATTTCAAATATATATTTTTAAATATATATATATTTTAAAAAACCAATAAATTCTTGAAAATGCCATCAGGTACTCTGACGGCAGTCATTGGTGACATTGTGAAAAGCAGGCCCAGCAGTATGGAGCCAGTGGTGGCTTCTCGGTAGAGCACCTGCCCATGCAGCCTTCCAGGTGCCCTGGCTGGATAGTGCGATGCTGTCAGTTTGCCCAGCAGCTTTATGATGTCTGCCTGACTGACCTTTTTTCGTCATGCTAGCCTCTGTACTTCCTTCAGTCTCGGCCTTCTCCCACTTCCTGGTTCTTC